CTTTTCATGATTTTGAACAAGCACTCATCAAATCATTAGCAATTTCTCAACTTTTGAAAACTTTAGGTTATCTCATTATGGAAAGTTATTAAAATAAGGGCTGTTCCCTTCCAAATTTGAAGCCAACTTGTGAAAATATAGCCTGATTGTATTGATTGAGGTCAAGGCTATTTGATTCATAGGTGACTGGGAACCAGACGCCTAAATTAAAAATTAGGGGATACAGTAACATGGTGGCTATTGTCCTGCTCTAGTAAACTAGAGGGCTAGCAAAATAATCTGGTAAACCAGAGTTCAAATCTCACCACAGCAGCTGGGAATTTAAAATCAGAACAGCACCACCCACACGTTCCTCTCCAAGCCACTTATTATCCTGACTTGGAAATGTATTGCTGTTCCTTCACTGTCGCTATATCAAAATCCTGGAATTCCCTCCCCAGAGGCAATGTGGATCTACTTATAGCACATGGAATGCAGCAGTTCAAGAAGCAGCTATCATCACCTTCTCAGGGCAATTAGGAACGGGACAATAACGGCTGGCTCAGCCAGCGACGCCCACATTCCAAGAGTGAATAAAGGATAAAGAGAATAATAAACCAGCATCTGTAATGATGAGCATGAAAGTACTGGGCTATTGCTAAAGTCTGTCCATTTCATTAATATCCTTTTTGGAAGGAAATCTCCCGGCTTTACATTTAACTTGCCCATTTGCAATGCCCGACCCGCAGCAATGTGGTCAACTCTTAAATACCCCTGAAATGACTGAGCATGCCATTTGGTTCAATTCATGGTGTTTCACAACCAGTTCCTCGAGGACAATTAGGAGTGGGGAAGAAATGGTGGCATCATCAGCAATGCTCATGTCCTGAGAATGAATTTTTTTTCCAAAAAGCAAACACTATAAAATGTCAAAACATGTAAATTTGCTCTGGTGTAATTTGATCCGATGTGGTTATGGCATCAATGCTTTTTCAAAAGTAGGTCCACTTCATTATCCACAGTTAGCCCATTAGAATTGTATTTTAATGTGCAGGCAAATTTGAATTATCACAAATCAAAGCTCAATATTCCTCTGAAACTCATTTTAGTCAAACTTGATAGGAACATAGGAACAGGAGTAGGCCATTCAGCCCCTTGAGCCTGTTCCACCATTCAATGACATCATGGCTGACTTGTGGACTAACTCCATATACCTGCCTTTGGCCCATATCCCTTAATACCTTTGCTTAACAACAATTTGACTCTCTCGAAATTAACAACTGATCCAGCATCCACTGCTGTTTGTGGAAGAGAGCTCCAAACTACTATCACCCTTTGAGTGTAGAAGTGTTTCCTAACGTCTCTCCTAAATGGCCTGGCCTTAATTTTTTGGACGATGCCCTGCAGTTCTCGAATCCCCAACCAGTGGAAATAGTTTATCATTATCTAACCTGTCTTTTCCTGCTAATGGTCAAACTTTGCTTCAAAAGGAAAACTGTTCTTTCACAGCTTGAATGCATCAAAAGACTTCTGTGACCAACATTACCACTGCCTCATCTCAAGGTTTTGAAGACTTGCTGGGATCGAGCCTTATTGGACAGTTTGTGTCACTTAGCCGCATTGACATTTGCTTCAGTCAGAGGTTCAAGACTAACGATGGATAATCTAGGGCTTTCTAGGCTGACCACGCGGCCTCACACTGAGGGGCTGTTATATTCTCGGATGTGCTATCTTTCAGATGGGGCATGAACCAGAGACCCTACCTGATTGCTCAGGAAAACAAAAATCCCAGCAAAACAATACAGGCAATTCTCCCTGTTACTGTCCACCGGGGTAGTCTGTCATAAATAGAGACCCAGGTTTTTGTGCTGAACAAAAATTATTAAATATTACAAGTAATTAGACTATTACTACAGGTAACAGTCACAGGTAAACAAATATAAACCTTTGTTATATAACACTACTAAGTAAAACTCCAATCTCCACTCGCGCGCGCGCGCGCACACACACACACACACACACACACACACACACACACACACACACAGTCAGATCAGTGAGTGATCTTCGAGATAATACTTCTTGGGCTGGCCAGACCCTTTGTAAGAAGTGCAGAATAACTGATTCACTCGGAAAATGCCTCTGATTTATCAATTGCAAAGTCATAGCTTACAGCAACTGCTGTAGGAAGAGTAATTGGTTTTGTACAAGTTTAACCTGTATTTGACTGCAGAAAACATGCAGCTTCTGGGGCTGGGAGAAGATCTGCACACTTCTTTGCCCTGCCAAACCTCCCCACCTCTCTCTCTCTCTCAGCATCTGTGTAACGTGTTTCCAGCTCCAAGCTGCTCAGGCACTCGAGAACCAATCACGTTGTTGGCAAGCAAAAGGTCTCTGTCATTGATATCTTACTAGCTCACAGATCGACCAACTTCTTGTTGCCACCAAGAGCTCTTTCAGTACACACCCTTGACACCAGACTGTTTGCAATCTGAACTTCAATTATTGCTTGTTCAAACAAGATTGTTTATAAAATCACAGAAATGTTAAGGCTCAGAAGGAGGCCTTTCAGCACAATATGTCTGCATCATCTCTCCAAATCAGCATCATGACTTAGGGCCAACCTCCTGTCTTTTGCCTGCACTGTTTCTATAAAGACTCTGCCACTCTTTCAAACACTGGCACAATACCTCCTCATTTCAATCCACAATTTTTTAAAAACACAAACATAATAAGACACAGGAACAAAAAAAACGGAAGTTGCTGGAAAAGCTCAGCAGGTCTGGCAGTATCTGTGAAGAAAAAAAATCAGAGTTAACGTTTCGGTTCTGGTGACCCTTCCTCAGTTCTAAGACAAACACAAAATTTTCTGGAAAAGCTCAGCAGATCTGGCAGCACCTGTGAAAAGAAATCTGAGTTAATGTTTCAAGCCCAGTCGCCCTTCTTCAGAACACCTCAGTTCTGAGGAAGGGTCACTAGACCTGAAACATTAACTCTGATTTTTTCTTCAGAAATGCTGGCAGACCTGTTGAGCTTTTCCAGCAAATTTTGTTTTCGTTCCTGATTTGCAGGGTCTGCAGTTCTTTTGGTTTTAGTCAGACACAGTCCTTACATCCCAATGTCCAGACCCACACTTATTCCTTAATCAATTCTAGAATATTAACTGATCATTCATCTCCTCATCTTTTCAGCTAAAACTTTAGGAAGAATACAATTAGTTCTTATAATTCTTACAAAGCTAGTGGGCTCTTGTGATGCAGTGGAAGTGCTCAGATGGACAGATGTTTATTGCAGAAAAGCAGCATCTCCAACAATACACTCCCTCCATATTCTGCTAAAGTGTCGATCTAAATCGCGTGATCTGGGTTCATAGCCCACTTGCTCCAGAAGTGTGTAATAGTATCTCTGAACAAGCTGAATATAAAATATTTATAATTAGTTCTGAAGCATTGAGACTTTAGAGGAAGCACAAGGTATTCTTGAGTTTAGAGTTTATTTTCTTCTATACAGAGCAACGATTAAAGAAAAGGTAATCCTAACGGATTGGCAGTTCAACGAATTCTGATTGTAATAATGCTTTATGTTCTTAATTGCCTACGTTCTAAACTTCTGCATGAGTATACCACATGAAAAATGTGCTGTAGTTTGGTCGTAAGTCTGATACTTAGTTCTTAAAAATCCCATTCTCTATCCTACCTTTCTTTACAGTAGTTACATGGTGGGAACTCTGCTTTAAACTGCCTTTACAGCCTCAAAATGCATGGAAAACCCTCTTGTTGCAAGGTAAAATTCCAGAAGCACTACAGGTTGTACGGAAATCCGGAGGTATGGCCGATGACGGACACAGAGTTTGCTAGACCAAAGATTGCTGGATTACAGAGGTATTAGGAATTGCAAACTCCAGTGCAATGTTATTGAAGAAAATAAAACCTAATTCGGTATGTTGGCATGGTCCTGGGCACATTTCACCTCCAGCATCTGGGACAAGTGCAAGATACTATTTCTTTAAAACACTGTTTAATTTTTAAACTTAAGCTCTAATAAATGGCAGTTTCAGTTAAAATGCAGTTTGCACAGTCTGTCCTATATATCATCATTACAGCAAGCTAGCTGTATAAGGCATCAGAAGTCAAAACTAAAGCAGAGCATTTGCTGCTACCTGCAACATATCTTGTGTTGCATATAGCAGTAAGCTATGATTAGTTGACAGCTGCTTTGCCAGTCTTGCAGATTCAGCACTCAAGAAGCGCAAGCAGGTCAATAGTTCAGCATTCTTCAATCTTACCAAATTTACAGCATGTTATGTTCAAGTCTGGTTTAACAAGTTGCACTTCAACAAAAGTCTATTGTGGTTTGTACAATCTGAGGATCTCTTTTGAACTACCAAAATCCAACAGAATGAAGATGCCCAATATCAAACCCATGACAGTCCAGTAGGATTTAAAATAGAGGATTTAAAATCTCAGATTTAATACACTAACAACAACCAGAAGTCTCAGTGGTAACACTGAAGAAGTTTGAATTCATTCCCTAATCCAAAGACCACAGCACGTGAATTAGATCGACACTTTAGCGGAATATGGAGGGAGTGTATTGTTGGAGGTGCTGCTTTTCTGCAATAAACATCTGTCCATCTGAGCACTGTAAAACTCCCTATGGTACCAATGAAGAGTCCAGAAGATCTCCCTCTGTCCTTTCAAACCCCCAAGCACTAACTTCGCTAACATCAAGTTATTTCTTCCCTTTGCTGTTTGTGAGACTCTGCTGTGTACTAGTTACCTACTGCATTTCCCTTTATTGGAACAAAGATTACACTTCATTGGCTGTGAAGCTCTTAGAATTGTGGCATGAGAAGCTGCTCTATAGATAAAATATAAAAATATGAAGTTGTTCTTTATCCAAACCACCTACTCTCAGAACCCAGCCTTTCATTTACATCAGTTAAAAAAGAACGCACTTATAGCTGTACACGATAGTGGTTTTTAACTGTTAAAACATGGATTAAAAATGTGTCAATTTACCTTCCTTGTTTTCCAAGATGTTGGGTGCAAATCCACCCTCATCACCAACATTGATTGCATCCCTCCCATACTTGTCCTTGATGACATTCTTCAAGTTGTGGTACACCTCAGCGCCAATGCGCATTGCCTCCCTGAAGTTGGCAGCACCAATTGGCAGGATCATGAACTCCTGCATGGCCAACTTGTTACCAGCATGAGATCCGCCATTTATCACATTGAAGGCCTGGAGAGATAAACACGAAATGTTTAATCAGTGTTATCAGCGGCGGGTCTGATCCAAGCTACCCTTCTGATGCAACTCAGAATCAGAGAATCTTCTTTCAAGGCTATCGTGGAAAACCTTATTTGCATTGCCGAAAGAACCAAAATTTATGGTAAAATATCTATTTCAGCCTGGAGCCACCATCAAAATTAGTTCCGACTTCAACCAAGTTGGAACCCTGGTAAACATTGCTTCACTCCCCAAGTCAAATCTGTACCATCAAGAAAAATGGCTCTCACCTCCCAAAGGTGGAGTTGCACCTTCATATAACCTTCTTCCCCTTCTCCTTTTACTTACCTTGACCCAAGGAAACATTTGAAGAAATCTGAATTTGAAGACTTCAACTTCATATTAAAGCGATTAAGTTTCCTTACCTCCAGAAATGGCCATCACAATCTGGTTTGAGCTCACACCTGGATTGATATACCCTGATGAATTAAAAACCCTTTATTGCTACGTCCACACAGATGCAGCCTACCGTAAGGTTGGAGTGTTAGCGCTCAGACCTACACTGCAGAGGCTGCTTTGTTTGACTAGAACTGCAGTTGTTCTGAGTCTGCTTCATCTCTGTCTCTGCCTTAACTAAGAGGGAATACTACCTGATTCTCTGGGGTTCTAATATTTACATATTAATGGGCAGAATACCAATCTTTGTATTATAGCTTTCAAATACAGTTATTCCATTCTGTTTTCTCAGTCTTAATAGCATGTGACTGCTAATGGTCAGTGACACATCATCATATATATCACCATACCATTAAAATATACACTAACATTAAACTACAAAAACCCATTCCAATCCTGTCCACCTTAACACATGGAACTAACGCTGCACCACTTGCGTCTTAGACACTGGAAGTGCTTAGCTGGAAGTCTCTGTGTACAGCGTGAAACAGCTATTCTCAAGTGGCACAATTAAGAGGAAAGAATTAAACTACTTAAATGAAGAATTATCTATCCCTATCCTTCAATCAAGTGCTGGGAATGTTTCTGAACTTATCCCAAAGGAATCAATCAATGCAAAGTTCCTTTTGGCAAATGGAGGTCATATTTCACTGGATGGGAACAGTTCTCAGCCTTAATTGAAACATCAGTATTTGGTCACTTAAGTGTCCATAAATATATGCCTACATGCCCCTGCACAATATATACAATGTACTGTGTTTGAACAGGGCCTTGGGGTTCTCAATAAAGTTTTAATGAGCTGTAACACAAGGTATTTGTAACACTAGACAAGGTCCAGATGCTTCAACAGCTACAGCATCTTGTAATTCAGCGTAATTAGCTTTCCTTTACATGTGTACAAAGGATCTGGTACTGGCAAATCATTGGGCAAAATCAAACAGTAGATGTTTACTTTCAAAATCTCTGTTAGCAAATTGCATTTTGGCAATTGGGAGAGTCACTAAATCTACAAAACAACCGACAGAGCGAACTTGGTGCTCAGTCCAATCCAAATGCGGAGATGTTGCCATCCCATGAGTAAGGAAACGGCCAACAAATGGTTGCAATTGACAGCTCCATCCCTGGCTGGAATAAAGGCTTCACCAAAACAAAGGAACCCCTGCTCCCACATCAAAAAAATGGAAATCAACCTGTCGTGCAGAATTGCAGAAAACCATTTTATAATTGTTCAAACTGCTCTGAAATGGAGACTTACTGGAACAGGCAGGATGACCTGTGTGTGGCCCGCAAGATGGGAAATGTGACGATAAAGAGGCACTCCTTTCTCTGCAGCTCCAGCTTTACACACAGCCAGCGAAACACCAAGAATAGCGTTGGCCCCATATTTAGCTAAAACGCAAATAAAAACTATGACAATTCAGTTCACCAAAAAAAAACTGTCTCCCTGGTAGGCAAAGGTATGTGTGAGGCGAGTCATCTAAAACAGCAGGGCCCAGGTTCGGTCTCAGCCAAGGAGGGAGCAGGGTGCCCATGTCAAATGTGGCTTTAAAACCTGGAAAATCCAAGCTGCTAGCTTGCAGCCCTTGCCAGTGGATTTGCATGCATGGATGAAATGGATCAGAGCAACGCCACATCCTCACATTTAAATGGCCTGTTCCTAATCATCATAAACTCTTAAATGAAACTATATTGTAATCTGTGTGTTTGTGAAATAACAACAGGGTGAGAGAGGTCGAAGAAGCATTTCGCATTGTCCATACAATGCCCATGGGCATATCCGTAACTAGATTACAGGACATGGGTATAGTCTGGATTGGTCAGTTACTTTTTAAAACCAACAGTTGTCATTACCCAATGAGAGATCTTAACCACAAGCTTTGGCCAATCTAGCAACAATCAAAGTGGTCTAGTAGTAATGGTATTGGACTAGTAATCTAAAAACCTAGGCTAATGTTCTGGGGATAAAAACAGAAATGGCTGCAGAAACTCAGCAGGTCTGGCACCATCTACGGAGAGAAAGCAGAGTTAATGTTTTTGGTCCAGGGACTCTTCATCAGAACTAGTATGAGCAAGGAAAAGGTGGTATACATGCTGAAGATGGAATGAGAGTTAAAGGAATCACAGTTTTCCCTTACCATTATTTCTGTCTCAGGCTTGCTGCAGTGCTCCAGCAAGACTCAGCACAAGCTGGAAGAACAGCATCTCATTTTCTGCTTGGGGACCCTGCAGCCTTCAGGACAAACATCATATTCAATATTTTTAGGCCGGAATACTTTCTTCTAGGTTCTTTACCCATTCTACACCCTAGGCATTGTTATCACATGGGCTGCTTCCAGCACAGCCAATCCCTTTTCACCCACCTATGGCTCTTATTATCAGCTCTTCTCCAGTCATGGCTTATCACTATCCATCTCTTCGTCTGACTAACTGCTGTTCTCTCTCTTTCTCTCTCTCTGGGTTCCATCTCTACCATCTGTGCTCTTTTAAACCCGTTTCCTGTGTCCTCAGCATATAGACCAACTTTCTACTAGAAAGAACACTGGACCCAAAACATTAACTCTGTTTGCTTTCCACAGATGCTGCCAGATCTGCTGAGTTTATCCAACAATTTCTGTTTTTGTTTCAAATTTCCAGCATCCACAGTTCTTGGCTTTATTCTATGTTCTGGCAACATGGGTTTGAATCCCACCGTGGCAGATCATGAAATTGATTTTAATAAAACTTTGGGATAAAAAGTTAGCCTAATGTTGACCACGTAACCACTAGATTCTTGTAAAAACCCACCTGATTCACTTAACGCCCTTTAGGGGGTGAAATCTGCTGTCCTTACTTGGTCTGGCCTACATGTGACTCCAGACAGATAACAATGTGGCTGATTCTAAGTTGCCCACCGGGCAATAAATATTGCTGTAGTCAGCAACACCCACATCCCATGAGCCAAGACAAAAAAAAAATTAGCTCATGATTTTGTTCAGTCTCAATCAGCCATTTGACTACTCATCAGAGACTAAACTCCAGTTGTGGAATGGATCTTATATAATGGAGAGCCTGAATTCACAATCTGCTTCCCAGGTCTTCGTTGGCAAAATAGACTGTCCCAATCCATCAGGGAGGACCATATTAAATTAGAGATTATGGAGATCATCTCAGACGCAAATAACTTCAAAACTCAAGACTGTGCACACGTTTGTACATGTGTGAGGCATGGATAGAGTTAACTGCCACCGTTGCCCACTGACATAGACCTTCACTGCACATGTAGAGATAGCCTCTTGGCAACAGGCTGTGAACATGCTTCAAAAATTATAGGTTAAAAATAAATACAAATGAGCACCCATCATTCTCTGGGCTAAAGATAATTTGCCATCAAGGGTGATGAGAAGAAATCACCCTTAAGAACTTAATTGCATGAAAACATGTGAGTGCATTAGATTTCCATTGGCACAGCAGGTTTACCGAGACGCATGCCTTCGAAACACGCACACCTACATTTGTTCTCAGTGCCATCCATTGCCAGCATCAGCTTGTCAATTTTCTCCTGTTCGATAACGTTTACATGCTGTCGGGAAGGGAAACAAAAATGTCAGATAACGTGCAGCCCCTTCAGTGGGTGATTAATGAAACCCGGTTTCGGATTAAAAATAAATGAAAATTGTAAATGAGGTGGAGCACAGAGAAATCACATTTAGCCAAAATCCACTCCGATGTTCGGATTCATTCAAAACCAGCACTTTAATGAGTTAAGGCACTGTTTGCTAGAACACTAAAGTACATATCTGGTTAGTTCAGTTGGCTGGTCAGCTGATTTGCAATACTGAATGATGCCAACAGTGTGGGTTCAATTCCTACACTGGCTGAGTTTATCACAAAGGACTTCCCTTACCTAAGGGGAAATGAATCTCCTTTAATGAGAGAGCTGCCTACAGTCTGTGGAACTATGGTGATGTTAGCTTTAAAGTAGATACCATTAGAGAACAGAGATAACAAGGTGTAGAGCTGGATGAACACAGCAGGCCAAGCAGCATCAGAGGAGCAGGAAGTCTGATGTTTCGGGCCT